ATCAGACAGGAGGAGTGCCCAAGGTTCCACCAGCATGTTTTTAACTGGCTGACATTTTAATTTAAACCTTTAGAAGAAATATATTACTTGGGTTACTACAATGAGGTGGGTTCCTTTTTTCTTTCTTTCTTTTCTTTTTTTTTTTTTTTTTGTCAGCTGACAGCTTTTAAAATATTATTTCGCTAGGGAAATAAAAGCTTCATCTCAGATTATAGGTGGGTATTTTTGGATTTATGTGATTTATGGTCACCATGACAACTAATGCTGAATGTGAGCTACCAGTATGTCTGGGAGAGAGAAAACAGAAAGAAAGGAGAGCAAGGGAAAGAGAAACAGGGGATGGACATGAGCGGGACAGGGAGGTAAAAAGAAAAGAGAGGAGAGAGTTCTAATCCAAATGTTGGGTTTTGTTTTCTTTTAAGTGACTTCGGTCAGCCCCTCACCACTTTCTTCTTCCCAGGCCTATGTTTAATTTCTTCTTTTCCCCTCTCTCCATTCTTCTCTTTCTTTCCTCCTCCCAACACACATTTATACTTTACCCTTCTCTTCATTTTACTTAGTTCCATGAAAAGTTGCTTTCCAGAGTTTAACTGAATGCCTAGTGAAACTGTAGCACTAGCATGCAAATCTAAGAAGGCATTAACTATGTATTGGTTTAGGGCTTTTAGCAAACTCCCTCTCCTTTAATCCTCTCTCTTCCAGCACCAGTGCAGAGAGAGATCTACCTACCACCACCACCAAAACACCTTCCTTCAGCCGGTTACCCCAGAACTCAAGCTGCTGAGCAGTTTCAGCTTATGAAACAGAAAGTTAGGTACCATTTGCAGGGACCCAGAGTTTGCTCAGTATAGCTACAGACTTCTGATTCAGAAAGTCTTTTCTTTTACCAAACCAGCACTTTTTAAATTCCACTTAGGGAATGGGGGAAAAGCCAGCCACAAAGAAGCTTTTAATTTCTGAGTTCTTTTTCATGGCTATGGGCAGAGCTAGATCCTTTCCAACTTGGTTTGTGTACGTAGAAAAGTCAGGGGGAGGACAGAGGGGAGGAAGGAACACTTCTCGGGCAGGGTGCAAGGTCTCCATCTGACCTCTGCGCCTTAACACGGAGCGCGCACCCACACCCATCACGTGGCTTCGAGCTGAGTCCGGGCGGGCCTCGTCCTTGAGCTGGCCTGGGCCCGGCAGCACTCCCTCCACTCTAAGACCTGACAGCTCAGGGAGACATCTAACTGAGCCATCTTCAGGGTGAGCTCTGAAAACAGATTCTTTCCAAAAGTCGGGGATCGCTCGGTTGCATCCAAGCCCATACCCGGTGGTCGCTACCTAGATGCTGCCATGGCCAGAGGGACTTTTCGCAACTAACGCTAACGAGTGTGAAATTAAATAAGACTTTAAGACGGGTAATCGGTAGCAAATACCAGCTGAAAACACGCCTGAACCCGTGTCACACATTTCCTTCCTCGAGGGTCTTTCTTTGAAAGAATAAAGCAAGAAAACCATGTTGAGACGACTTCCGATGTCTTCCAGACTCAAAACCTCAAAACCGCACTAGGCTTCCTCCCCCTGCCCCTTGAAAGTCATGCAGCACCTCCAGTTTCTCCGCGCGGATCACGCTGGTTTTTTCTGTATTGAAGGCTTCTGTAATGGAAGCTCAAGTCATGGTAGTTTCTAGAACCAATCAAGAAGAATTCAGGTGGAGGTCACAGTGGTGGTGTACTCAGAGAACATATATGATTTCTTGACTCATCTATATGCGCTGTCCACGCACCTACAAGTCTTATGTGGCTTAATGCTCCAAATTCCCACCAACACCTCTCGGAAGTTTTCACAGGAGAGCATTTCTTGGTTCTCCCTCTACACACCTCTTTTTCCTTATCTAGACTTTTTTTATGTCGATGTCTTCCTGCCACCCGTGGAGTGGACCTTTTTGGGCCTAAGGAAGAGTGTCACCCAATTAGGTCTGCTCAGAGTGTGTAAAGAGATTAGGAGATTAGGAGAGGATTGAAACTCCTGCTGGAAAAATGCAAAGAAAATCCATACTTTAAATCAGTTGCTCAGAGAGCTCCTGTGTGTGTGTGTGTGTGTGTGTGTGTGTGTGTAAGAAAGAGAGAGAGAGAGATAAAATATTTGTGAATATATACGTATACGTAAACATATGGCTTTGGTTTGACTTTAATCAAAATTCTCTAGATAATTGTTTTATTCTCCACTCGCCTTCAGTAGATTCACACAAGTTAAGATCTGTATCCTTACAGGATCTAGGCTACCTGCTGATTCCCAATGTCTCCCACACTTTGTCACTATGAGGAGCCGTCATGTGCCCTTTGGTTTTTCAACCACTTGGGAGGCTAGTTGAAGTCCTTCGTTCATGTATATTTGCTGTGATGAAAGTTCTGTCAGGAGAGCAGAGCCACTAGAGCTTAAATTAAAAGTCTGTGCTTTTATGAGAGATGGGCTTAGAAATCCACAAGGCTCCATAGAGCTTCTCAGCTTTCCAGAGTAAGGCGTTTTGAAAAACAACTCAAACTTCCAAAAAATTTTGCAGCTCTAGGGATTGAATCTTGGAAAAGGAGCGAGGGGGGTATACGACTACAGTGGAGAATTTTTCATTTCTTTAATGTGGCGTATTCTCTTCATGAAATGTAACTTTAAGGGGCCTGGTTTTGTGGGGACAACAGCTATACTGAGGTTTGAAAGAAGAAACTGGAATATGATTAGTAAACACATTGGGCAGAAAAGAGCTGGATTCATATTGACTTAGTTATAGGTCATCATCTGGCAGTGCAATGGGAGGAAATATTTACTTTACACATATACTTTATGATCTTGGGGGAATTAGAGGAAATTCAACAAGAAAATGGCTAGAAACATTTAAAACCCTTATTTAAAAGACTTAAGCAAATTAGAGTCTTATCAGATTAAGAACCACTACAAATGTAAGAGCATTGTCTTCAGTGAAACGCTGTGGGGTCTGAGAAGAAGATTCTCCACCAAATCTCAGGGATAAAATGCATCATTTAAGCACCAGATAATGAGCAGAATGTAAATTAATTTAACCTTCTTTACCAACAGGCTGCTGGTATAATATGTGTAATTTAGTGATAAGATTGCAGAACCTAAAGTAGCTGGATCTGCGACCCTCAGCTAATGCAGACCTGTCACGTGGGGATGTGTTCCACTCTGAACAGGTGTGTGTATGTGTGGAACAGGGTGAATGTGAATAAAAGGTTAAAACCAGAAATGCTGATTTAAGCTTACTATGAAAAAAGTTCCCCCTTCTAGCTATATTCTTCTTAAAGTACAATGATACTGCTAAGGAAGAACTGAAAAACAATTCATTTGGTTCCTTGGAGTGCTCTCAAGCTCTTCAAAATAGAAGAGTTGCCAATAGGGTTGGGAGGGTGCAGGGCAAAGGAGAGAAACATAGCTTACAATATATTTGTAGTCTGCTTGATCCACTCTGTTCCAGACCGAATATGTTTCCCAATCTTGTGAACAAGGACAAGGAGGGAGCTTTCTGAAGATACCTCACACTGACATTGCAAATCATTGACTGTAATGTCAAACAAATACACAGTCAGGGATGATAACACTAACTCCACAATAAAACAATCGCCAGTGCAGAAACCCAGGGGAGATTAGTTTGTGCTCTCTGCCTGACCTAAACTGGGGGACAAAAGGACTTAGAAAAATTATTTTGAATATGTTTGGATTTCCTTCTTTACTATATTTGGAAATCAAATTCACTTGGAAATACTGCTATAAAGCATTGATGTCCCCAAAGGTGGTTCTTTTTGTTTTATATAAATGAATAAAGCTTTGCTTTCCTTAGTTGGGAGATCTTCTAGGCTTTCCCTCTGTAGCCCACACCTTACTGCTTCTGCCTGCTTGGACTTTAATGATTCAAGACAGCCTTGAGTTGGCTAGGAAAAGAAAATGACTGTTAAAAAGTATCCTTGAAATTGGTTATTTGGCAACATTCTTAATGGTATGAAAATTCATTAAAGCATTTTTTTATATAATTAGCTCAAGGTTGTTGATTCTACAGGCTTTATGGATTTGAATCTGATTGATAATAAAGTAAACAAGAGCATCGAATTTAAAGCATGGCTCTCTCGGGTTAGGACAAGCTTAATACAGTGTACAAGGAATTTGAAAGATCTAGGAAATGTGTCTTAATCAACGTTAAATAGAATGGATAAGCTTTCAGCATTTTGAAAACGCTGGGTTAGGGTTTCTATTCTATTGTGTGTTTTCTGTCTGGGGACTAATAAGCATCACAGAGAACGTGACCTGGGGAGATTTTTTATTCTTTTATAAATCCAGAGTGAACCACCAAACAGTTGTTAGTTTAAAGTCAAGGCAATTTTCTTTTGACGGGTCCATTTGCTTCTCGATTTCTAATTTATTAGCCTGCCTTTTCGGGGCTCTGTCTTCTTAGCAATTAAAGTAAAGCTTCTTCAGATTAGCGCGGCATTCTCTTGACAGGCTGTTTGGAAAATTTAAGATCGGAGAGATGATTTGTTGGTGTTTTTCAAAATTTTTAGTTTTAAGTAGCATGTTTCCTTTTTATACGGGGGGGGGCACTTGATTGGAAAGAGGTAATTAGACACAAAAGGTAGGGACCTTGCGTTGTTGATTGGTGTACCTTTCAGCCCTTGACCTTTCAGCTCTCTGCTCCCAAGCCTTTGACTCCTAGCCTCATCTCATCTCTCCGCCTACTCCTCGGAACTAAAAGCCGGATCGCTTTGGCCAGGCAGGGCCAGAACTCCCAAGAGCGTGCTGGTGTAGACCCGGTGGGCACAGCAAGGAGATAGCTCCGCCCCACGCATTTGATAGGTGCAGACAGGACAGTCCCTCCGCCGCGACTCGGAGCCTCGTGATTGGTGAAAAGTCACGTCACTCCCGCCTGGCGAAGGGTCTGGGAGGAGGCAGAGGCGGAGAGGGATCGGGAGGGCCGCGGCAGAGTGACGTCTCCGCACCAGGAAGCCCGCCTCTAGTTTTAAGATGTTAGGCCAAGAGGGAAGCGCGGAGCCGCAGATGTGGTCCGTCGCTCGTCTGAGTGCCTGGAGCTGAGCTGCCGCGAGCCCCGGCTCCAGCTCGCCGGCCCGAGGGGGTGTGCGTGTGTGCGCTGCGGAGGGTGCGCTCGGAGGGCCGCCGTGGCTGTTGTCGCCGCAGGGGATCTAATATCAGCTACCTGTCCCTGTCACTCTTGACACTTCGCTGTCAGGGCTGCTGCGTGGGGGGGGTGGGGGGGTGCGGGCAGAACGCAGTCAGCGTTGGCTTTCCTTATTGGAGGGGTTCTTGGGGGAGGGAGGGAAGAAAGAGGGGGTCTTTGCCCACTCTTGTTTCGCTTTGGAGCTTGGAAGCCTGCTCCCTAAAGACACTCTGAGCGGTGCCTGCTGACCACATCCCCATGTCTCCGTTTGCCCGCTGACTTTCGACCTCCGGATTCTTTCGTTTGAGACTTCCAGAGGAGACTGGGGAGGCTTGGTTGGAGGACTCGGCGGGAGTTGCGTCCCCTGGCTGCACCCCGAGGGGAAACTCCGCGCCCAGAGCGCGACCCAGAACGGGCAGCGGCGGCAACTGGGGCTCGGCGGGGCAGTAGCCTGGGAGTGGTAGAGCGGCGCGCTCCTTCGTCCATGAACTGCATGAAAGGCCCGCTGCACTTGGAGCACCGAGCAGCGGGGACCAAGCTGTCGGCCGTCTCCTCGTCGTCTTCTTGTCACCATCCCCAGCCATTAGCCATGGCTTCGGTCCTCGCTCCCGGTCAGCCCCGCACCCTGGACTCCTCCAAGCATAGGCTGGAGGTGCACACCATCTCCGACACCTCCAGTCCGGAGGCCGCAGGTAAGGCGCCGCGCCGCGCCGCCCCGCGGACACTCGGGCTCAGCAGCCTCCCGCCACCCCGTCCCTCTAGCCCCCGAGGAAGTCAGCCCCTCCAAGGGGAGGCGTGGTGGGAGTGGTCGTTCTGCTAGTTCTTCCGGGAGCCGGAATTATGATGCACTCCCATCCCTTTAGTTCTACCTCGACTGGCCGGGCTCATGTGACGCGATCCGTGCGAGCAAATCTGCCGCTCTGTCTATTCCTAACCTGGCTTCCCTTCAGTTTACTGGGTCACAAAAGTCCCAGCATCTCAATTCGAGGACTTCAGAGGCTGCCCCACCTCTGTCCTGTTCTCTCTTGGCTTTCAGCTCTGAAGGAACTCTGCTCCCTCGTTGGTTAGACAAGTATGTCTGAAACTACCTAGAAATGCTTTTCGCGAAGACATATTTTTATTTAAAGGGCCGGCGAACTTGGGTGCCTAACCAAATTCCCACAGCTGCTTTTCCTAGTCTCCTGAAACTGCATGGAAATCTGACCTTTCTGTTGTGGAGGGGGGAGGAATGTCCGTAAAACACGCGCGCGTGCGTGTCCCGGGAGACTTGGTGTGTCTGCGCAGAGGTGTATAAATATACTGAAACCACAGGCTATAAAAGTGAACGTGCCGCTGCAGTGAGATAAACATGTAAATAAAACGTGCAGCACGGGGGGATGGGGGAGGAGACCGACGGGCGCACACACCCACACTCCCGTCTGCACACCCCACAGACCGAGCGCTCCCCGCGGCCGGGAGCTGCGGCTCACACACTCCTCCCTGCGCCGGGCAGCCCTTCCCCTACTCCTGCCGCCGCTCCGATTGATACTCGCGGTTGTAGGCGGGCAGGCTGACGGAAACCGCCGTGTGTTTTGTTTTCAGAAAAAGAAAAGAGCCAGCAGGGGAAGAATGAGGACGTGGGCGCCGAGGACCCATCCAAGAAGAAGCGGCAACGGCGGCAGCGGACTCATTTTACCAGCCAGCAGCTACAAGAGCTGGAGGCCACTTTCCAGAGGAACCGCTACCCGGACATGTCCACGCGCGAAGAAATCGCTGTGTGGACCAACCTTACAGAAGCTCGAGTCCGGGTAGGAGCCACGAGGGAGCCTGGGAAGGGTCGGGGGAGGACGCTGTGAAGGTGCAGGCCCTATAGACCAGGAGGGAGCTGGAAGGCAGCTCCTCCCCGGGAGGGCGCGGGTAGGGAGCAGCTTTGCAAAGACAGAAGGCCTCTCCGCACTCCAGGTTGTGAGATTGCAGCTCCCCATTCAGAGACCCGCAGGGCTCCCGGGCTGGCGCGGTGGCCTGGAGCAGCCCGGGCTCACTCTCTTGCCATCCCGCGCCCTCCCCAGCTGGGCCGCGTGGGCATTTCCCTTCACTGGGCATTGTGTTCCTAACTTGCCGTCCTCAGACAAGAGCTAATAAAATCCCTCCTGGGCCAAAAGCAGCGAGCAGGCTTCAACCTGTGCTCTTTTAACAAGGAAAACCCGTCAGAAACACGTAGGGGTTGGCTCTTCTGGGAAACTTTTCGCGCCAGGCCTAGCCCCACTTTCTCTCCCTTTCTCTCTCTCTTCAGCTTGCCCCATGCAGAGCCTTTGTAAAGTTTTTTTGCCATCCAGGTCTCTCCCACACACTAGTCCCTAGTTTTGTGATTTTTGGAAGCAAGGTTTTAATATACAACAATTATTCTGCCAGTCCTCTTAGAAGAAAAGAAAAAAATAGAAAGATGTTTCTGTTCGATTTATTTATCTTCTCTCAGAAGTTGAACTCTTTGGAAATCGATACATATACCCCTCTTAATTATAATCATAATTTTATAAAAAGGGCTTACCTTAACTTTGTAGCAAATCTGTACTTTATGGATTGGCAAAAATGAGCTTAAATAAATTAATAGCAACGTCTTGGTTTACGCTGGTTGGTGGAAAATTCCAAATTTGTTAGCGGTCTGGAGGCTGAAAACAGAATCAAGCAGCATCCGGAGGCTTTGCTGTTAAAAAATAAAAGTGCTCTGCATAGAAAAATGAAGCCCTCAGTTTGAGCAGAGAAAGCAAAAAGAAAAAAACAGATAAAAATAATAAAGACCAAATCGCCTCCCAAGACAGAGAGAAGGGAGACTCTGGATGGCATCTGCAGGGTGTGGAGCTATACTGGTAGATAAAAGAGCCTGGATGAAGTTGGAAATGGTTTTAGTTTAACTGCCCAGAGCCAACGTTCCGGCAGTGGCCGCGGGGTTTTGCGCAAGGTCAGTCCTTCATTAGCCCTCTTGTGCGTGTCAGGGGACTGGGCCTCGCACGTACTCTTCTTGCTTGGGCAAAGTTTAGATGGCCTAGGAGAGAAACGACAAGTAATTAAAATAAAAACACAATCTGTGAGTTTTCTGGAGTCCTTTGAAAAAGTTCTCCCTCCCCGTGGTTCTGCAGCCCCTCCCTGGTCCTCTATAGCCGTTGTGCAGGCTGTCCCTCCATCTTCCTTCTTCAGGATGGCTGCCTGGCCAGCCAAGTGGAAGTGAGGCGTTCTTTATATAGCAGTTGGAGCAAAAAGGAAGGGGATAAAAAGGAAATCGAGAATGAGAGGAAGAAGGAAAAAAAGCGGATTAGGCGGTGGGTGGAAATGTGTAATGTGAAACATCACCAGTGTCAGCTCAGGCCTCCCTCCAATACACAAAAGCCGCCGTCTGGAGCGATGGGCAGGCCTGATGTGGATTGGGAGAGGGGTTGCGGTGAGGCCACCCGGCTTGGGTGGGGGCTAGCCAGCCGGAGCTGCCGCCAGCAAAGCCAAATGAGGGGACTGGTCCTGTGGAAGTTGGGACCTGCAGCACTGGCCTGGCCTAGGGTGGGCAGAGGGTGAGAGGAGCAGAGAGAGATAATCTGAAGACCAACCAGTTCTAAGGTCTCAGAGTTTTATATGCCAAGCTCCTGGAGTTAACGAGCTGACTGGGAGGTGGTCTTCTGCTTATTATTTGGTTGTTTTGCTAAGCTGGGAAGGGAGTTGCAGTGGGGCCTTGGCGGGAGTACTTTCCAAGGGGAGGAGGACAACAGGAAAGCTTGAGAGCGGAGGGAGGAGCTGTGTGGAGGAGAGAACGGTTCTCTGCTAGCCTCCCAGCCCCTTGTCCTCATCACTGACTCTGTGGCTTTGGAATGGAAGCAAGTTTGCAAGGTGGCCGAGAAGGGTTGGGCAGAAAGCCTACTTGCCCCGCGTTTATTTTACAGTAAGTGTTTTTGGATCCAGAGAAAAGACTGGGTTAGTGATCAAGCTGCCCGCAGACCCCGAGGCACACTGCTGGGGTTTGTGGCAAAGCTCGGAGCCTCAGCTTGAAGACTGGAGCCGCCAGGCCTCCGGTGCTTGGCAGAGACTGGGGCTGGTAGAACTGAGTGCAGGACTCCAGGGAGTGCGGTGAAGCGAGGCGACCAGGGTGTGTGAATGCGAGCGCTTGGGTGTGTCGTGTGGGGTGTTGGCCTCTGCTGTTTTCCCAGATCGAGGTTTTATTAATCCGCGCTGTGGAATCTGTTTTGCTCCTTTGCCCCAACCGTCCCCAGGTTTGGTTCAAGAATCGCCGGGCCAAATGGAGAAAGCGGGAGCGCAACCAACAGGCCGAGCTGTGCAAGAATGGCTTCGGGCCTCAGTTCAACGGCCTCATGCAGCCTTACGACGACATGTACCCAGGCTATTCCTACAACAACTGGGCTGCTAAGGGCCTCACGTCGGCTTCCTTGTCCACCAAGAGCTTCCCCTTCTTCAACTCTATGAACGTCAACCCCCTGTCATCGCAGAGCATGTTTTCCCCGCCCAACTCCATCTCGTCCATGAGCATGTCGTCCAGCATGGTGCCCTCAGCGGTGACGGGCGTCCCGGGCTCCAGCCTCAACAGCCTGAATAACTTGAACAACCTGAGCAGCCCGTCGCTGAATTCCGCGGTGCCAACGCCCGCCTGTCCTTATGCGCCGCCGACTCCTCCGTATGTTTATAGGGACACGTGTAACTCGAGCCTGGCCAGCCTGAGACTGAAAGCAAAGCAGCACTCCAGCTTCGGCTATGCCAGTGTGCAGAACCCGGCATCCAACCTGAGTGCTTGCCAGTACGCCGTGGACCGGCCTGTGTGAGCCGCGCCCACAGCGCCGGGATCCTAGGACCGTGCCGGGTGGGCAAGTCTGCCCTTGAAAGACTGGGAATTATGCTAGAAGGTCGTGGGCACTAAAGAAAGGGAGAGAAAGAGAAGATATATAGAGAAAAGGAAACCACCGAATCCAAGAGAGATCTCCCTTGATTTCAAAGGGATGGCCTCAGTGTCTGACATCTATCACTACAAGTATTTCCAACAGTTGCAAGGACACACACACAAACGTTTGACTGGATATGACATTTTAACATTACTATAAGCTTGTTATTTTTTAAGTTTAGCATTGTTAACATTAAAATGACAAAGGATGTATATATATCGAAATGTCAAATTAATTTTATAAAAGCAGTTGTTAGTAATATCACAACAGTGTTTTTAAAGGTTAGGCTTTAAAATAAAGCATGTTATACAGAAGCGATTAGGATTTTTCGCTTTCAAGCAAGGGAATGTATATACTAAATGCCACACTGTATGTTTCTAACATATTATTATAAAAAAATGTGTGAATATCAGTTTTAGAATAGTTTCTCTGGTGGATGCAATGATGTTTCTGAAACTGCTATGTACAACCTACCCTGTGTATAACATTTCGTACAATATTATTGTTTTACTTTTCAGCAAATATGAAAAAAATGTGTTTTATTTCATGGGAGTAAAATATACTGCATACAAATTGGTCTGGATTCTTTCTGCCCTCCTCTGTCACCTGGCCAGGGAATCCCAGTCACTGCCTCCTAAACAAACCAGTTCCCCCTTCCTGCCTAGTTAAACATACAAGGCAGCAATATCTATTTAAATTTGGTAGAAATAGATTACAGCCACTCATCAGAAACTAAAAAGAAAAAAAAAAGACACTTCCAGGGGGATAAAGGCTGCAAAGTCTGGTCTTGTCTCTGAGATTTTTCTTTGGCTTAAACCCAAAGGGTTCTATTATTGCTAGCAAATAATATATAGAAAAGAAAGAAGAAAAATTTAGAAAGTATGCCAGCTTGGAGTGACTGTCAAGTTAACTCCTTTAGGAGTTAGTTCACCTCCAGTAAATTGTTCTGAAGAAATATTTGTGAGTGTATACATGCACAGTTTATATACATTCTTCTCAGGAGGAACACATCTATAATAAATTTACAAGGAAACACCTCTAGTTCAAAATATTTAGGCCTCCACGTTTATCTTTCAGGCTTAAGTAGAGAGATCCTTCATGTTATATTGCATTATTATTTCCAAATCCTTTGGAGACATTAAAAGAAACAAAGACCATTTCTAATAACTACAGCCCTTCAGCTTCTCAAAGAGCCCAGGGGTTGAGAGGTTAGAGTGGAGTTTCCTGAGTCTTGTCGAGCAATATGTAGTTGAGGCAAAGGTCATGCTCCCCATGTTTTGTTTTAAATAATATTGACCCATTAATTCTAAACCTGCTTGTTCCTGAAATTATACAGGATTATAGTTTGCAAACTGCAGGACAATGAAGCAAATCAAGATGAATTACAGTCCCAGCCCGCCCTCCCATCCTCTGACTTCTAAACGGGAATTGAGGTCCCTGTGTTTAAAAGAACGTTAAGCACCGGCTCCTTCTTTATCGATGGTTTTCAGCTTTTTTTTTTTAATGTGAAATTTGATTTCATAACAAATAGAAGCAAACACAAGCTTAGTCTCAAAGAATTCATCCTCCCGTGGCCCTGGGAGGATCGGTGGGAGAAAAAAAAGTGCTAAGGTCTTTTGTTATTCTTGTCATGCATCCCCGCCTCCCGCCCCCGCGCTCGCGCGCGCGAGAAAACACACACACACACACACACACTCTCACAAACGCAGTAGGCAGGCACAAACACCACGCCAGGGAACTCGGAGCGAAACGTAGCCGCCGGTTTTCAGAAGCCGAGAAAACCTGTGTTTTTTGCACCTCGATTGCTTTTATCTGGCTGAAACTTTACCTAGAAGCTTCTGGAGCTAAAACACTGAGTCTTTGTTCTACAGGGAACTGCTGCTGCCACTTAAAGAGATTGCAGATAATGTCCCCGATTTAAGATCTGTACTCAAAGCACATTAACTTTCTTTTTAAAGCTCTGCCTCCGACCTGCAGCGGGATCACGCGCCAGTGGGGGGCAGATAAAAGCCCTTTGGACGAGGGTCACCTCCGTCCTTGTTGTTCACTTGAGAGCAGTGGAGAGGAAAACGGTCCCCACGGGCGGACTTTGGCTTCTGGAGCCGCGGGGCCCAGCAGTTCGGCCTCTCCCGGCCTCCTCAGGGTAGGGGGCGGGGAAGAGAGAGAGGGCGGGGAGGAAAGAAGCCTGGAGAGGGGATTTGGGGGGTGAGCTTGAAATCTCTGAGAAGACCTGCTGGGAGAATTTGTGTCTCCTGCAGGTCAGAGAGTGCCTTGGGAGTGCTGGGTAAAGGAGGTGGATCTGGGCCTAGTTTGGTTGCTGAAGTATAACTACGCGGGGAAATCAATCAACCTGCAGGAACCAAAAAATGGAAGTCGAGATTTAGGAAGAGTTGTCACTTCCCCGACTTGAGTGGTGCACACTGGGGGCGGAGACTTGAGACAGAAGAAAAGCTTTTCCCTGAACTTCCAGAAGGAAGATTTGTACCCTCTCCCCCTTCTTCCCGCTTTCCCATTCCCGTTAACCCTGCAGGCCACCAGCCCCTTTCCTCACCTCCCTCTCGCTACCCGGCTAGTTCCCGAGCCCCAGGAGTCATCCTCTAGCCCCTCCCACTCCCAGCCCGGTCTCCCCAGCAGCCATCTCTACATCCACCACCTCGGTTCCACTCAATCGATTTTTGCTGCATGTCAACACTTAACTACCGGTGAGTGTGAGGGTATTTCTTTGTCCTTCTCTAGGTCTCTTAATGATTTCTGAGCTAGTTGTGTATTAAAGTGCTTAAAGGAACCTTTAACATAATCTATAGCCTGAACACCAACCTCCCCTACTTGGGTTCAAAAATGGAGAGCCTGAAGCCTCAGTCCACCATTGCTCACCTCCTGGAGCACCCAGAGGTTGGCCTGGCCAGGGGTAGGAACCCGGTGGAGAATATCAGCAATCTAGGGGCTTTCTCGGCCCCCAACCCCCGCCCACCCACCTGTTACTCACTTGCGCTGTTTCTTCTCTTGGTATCTTTTGTTATACTTATCCTCGGGTTTGTTTTTTATTTTATTACTTTAAAATATTTCCAAGGCCCCTAACTCTTGATTCCCCTAATACTGATTTCACATTGGTGGAGACTTGAGGAGAGATGTCTACAGTCCACATTTGTCTCAACTTCCTCCCAGTTTCTAAATCTGAGTTCGAATGTCTACAACTTGGTTAGAAATTTAATTTTTAAAAATATGTTGGGAAGTCTGGGCCATACAGGCGGTTAGATATGAGGGCAAATCCTCCTCTTCCCCTCCTGGCTCTGCTCTTTTCTCACCCCCACCTCTTTCTACAAGGTGCTGAAACCCGGTAGTCCTTTCAGGAGTACAACAAAAAAATTAAGGGGAAAAAATAAACAGCATCTTAAAAAGTCCCAATATTCCTCGAAAGCCCCATAAATTAACCCTGTGAAGAGCAGTGAGCCCTTTTAAGGCAAGTCTATAAAAATCCAGCGCGTTCTCGAAGGAGGACTGCCCTCCCCCCAACCCCTGTGGTGAATGTGACCAAACAAAGGTCTGTCCTGCAATCCACATCCTAATCCACGGGCGCCCCCGCCGCCGTCGCCGGGGCTCTCCAGCCTCTGACCGCCCACAGCCGACGCCGGCGATGCCCCGAGTCCCTGGCTCGCCGATTTAACTTTTTTACAGAGGAGGGAAAAAAAGCAGGGGTGTAATCAGATCAGAGGCCTTTATGAATATAGACTCCCTATTGATTGATTTATAAACCCCGGGCGAACTGCAGTTAATCTAAGCACACCGGGAAGCAAGAAACGTGGCTGACTGAGGGAGGAGAGGTCTCAAAGTAAACCGGAGGAATTTCGAGTAGCAAATTTTCAAAAAGGAATTTTTTTTTAAATACCTGTCCTCCCCCCCCACCAGCCTCCCAAACAATTGCATTTTGACTGAACTGGAGAAAATGGTAATTCACAATGAAATATGTTTAAAATATGAGTTAAATAGTAAAGGATTGTAAACACAAAGCTGATTTACCTTTCTGGGTTTCAATAGGCAAAATCAGGGAAATTTGACTCTTATCACCCTTATCCCTCTCCACCTTTCCTCACCCTTTCCCCAAGGGAGGACTTCTCATTTTTAATTTCTATCTGAAAAGATAGAAACCAGAATTTGTTGTGGGATGCATAACTTTATTCACTTCCGTGCTGAGTATTTTAATGTGTTTTATGTAAATGTTGATTTTAGATTTTGTTTGAAGATTTGAGAAGTCCTACAAGAAATAAAATACCCCATTAGTGATGTATTTAATTCTACTTAATTACCTTTTAAAAATCATTTCTACTTTTGTAGTGATGCACTGTTAACAGTTCAATGGCAATTGTGGAAGCAGGAGATACTAGAAGCTTAAGTTACTTACTTAGCAGAAGAATGACTAAAAGCCATCTAAATTCCTTACAAATTAAAAAAAAAACATTTTAAAAACATTTAATGAATATATGGTAACAGTGTTTACTTTTAGATGGTAATTTGGGGGGGGAGGACTGCATTTTTTTTTCTTCCTTCAGAAGAACTGAGAAGTTCAGACTTAACTGGGCCTTCTCTCAGCAGGGTGTGTGTCTGCACCCTGAGTGTCTGCCTCTGTGACTTTGATGGATCTTTCCAGACGGAGGCCTTCTAGTCTTCTGGCAAAAATGTTTAAGGTGCCTTCCGTCCTTCTTGCTCTCTCTTCTTCACGCCCATCTTCTCTTTCTCCCGTTTTGTTTGTCCTCTGCCAAAATTTTGTTTTGTTTTGTTTTGTTTTTCCCCATTCAAGCAACTTAGAAAATGATCCGCTAACGCAGGGACCTAATGTACCAAGCATTGGCTTCCTCACAGCCCGAGGACTCCCTCTACCAATGCTTTCTCTCTCCAGAAACAGCCGCTGACAGTTTGCACCAGCTCGGGACGACCTCGCAGGAACTTTTTATCCTCGTCTCTCTGGGGAGATGAGGCTTAGAACCTACTCTGCTGTCCCGGAGAAAGCTATGTGGCAGCATATCGAATGTGACTGAGAACACAGACTAGTGGCAGCCCAGTTCTTGGGCAAGTTTCCATACTCTGCCTGTGTCAACAGACTCCCAAACTCTGCTTTTCTGGTATCAAGGTGGGGTTGCTGCACCCACTAGAAGCCTGATAGCATCTCCTTCTCTCCTTCCGGGTATACCGGCAGGGCCTTCCCGGTTGTCATTTCTTGCAGTCTCTGCATTTGATTGACCGCTAGCCTCTCTGATGGCTTCACTCCACTGTGTACTGGCGCAGGGGGGAAGGGGAGAGCGACAGAGGGGAACAACGAGGTGGGTAGAGGTGGAGACCTTGCAGGCCACCCCCAGCGCTAAGGAAGGGGCTTTGCCTGCTAGAGCCTAAGGCTACAGACTATGCATCACTTTGTTAGAAAGCCAAATAATATCAAACAAAAGAAAGTAAAATAAAGCCCCCCGTTTTCCTGGCGCTGGGCCGCAGGCGATGTTCCTTAACAGGACTCTACTGACCTCAGCACCTCCAACCCCTGCCTGAAATCCGAGAGATAGAGGCAGCCAGCCGAGGGAGCCGTT